TTTCGTAAGATGTAATGAATACCCTTCGATTTTTTCCAAAGGGTCGTAACTACCAGTGCAAAAATAATGCATGCGTAATTTAGGATCACTTGATAAATGAATTCTTGGGGGAAAAGTACTTTCAAAATAGGGATGGGGGTGGACACAGAGGATCACAAAGCAATTAGCCAGAATCCCTGCTGACCTGTATCTTTTAGGGGGTGGGCACCTTAACTTCAGGTGCTTGACTGGCGTGGTATGTCTGATTGTTAGAAAAAGATCACTCCTTACTGACTGGTTTGTAAAGGCAGAGACCTTGGACCCCAGCGTTCACAGTAGAAAAAATTAATTAAGATCTGTATCACATGAAGTGAATCAAGAACCGTGGAGAGACCTGGAGAAAAGCAAAGGCATTTGGCGGGGGACAGAGGCAGGGAGGCGGGGGGCAGAATTAACAGGGATGTGACGTATTTTGTCGGAGAAAGATCTAGTCTTACAATGACAATCTATCTACAGACATCTCTTTTTCCAAGATACCAGGTCTTGATTAGCTGCAAGAAAAGTTATTTTTGAAATTGCCACTAGCGTGGGCAGAATTCATGTGCCTCAATCCAGTAGCAGCCTTTTAAAGAGTCAGAGGATCCAAAAATGTTGTTTATGGGAGGTGCTGGCTGTCATGTCTAAGACCTTACTTGGTCTGAATGGACAATGCCTTCTGGGACTCCTGCATTGTGACTGGTCTTCTCTGTTTCTAAGTTCTTGAGAGGAGCGTGGATAAGGCCCAAGAAACTTGAAAGCTCTTAAGACCGATTTTTTTGTTCTAGATACTCCCTTGTGGCATTCTACATCAAATGCTGTCACCTTTAAGTGTGTTGTTCTTAGATCTTCTCTTTGCTTACACATTCGTAGCCCGTTCTACAAATGACTAGCTGCACTGAACCAGATCCATTTGAGTCAGAAGAATAACATCTCCTGTGACTTTGCCACAGATATTGTAAATCAGTTCGGCTTTGCCTCAGATCTGATAGTAATCTTTACCTGTTTTACAGACGTATTGAAATTGGATTTACTGATACCTGTAAATTGACTCAAATATGTTGCTTAAACTGCAAGAGCATTTAAATTCCTTTTACAAATAATTTACACAAGTAAAATAGTTATAAAATGCTTAACCATATCTCTGGATAGTTCCAGCACTTTCTTGCTTGGAAAAAATAAGGGGGATGCTGGTGGGATAGCCATTTTTAAAACCTGATCTTTCAGGGGCTACTTTAAAGATCAGAGAATGGTGACTCTGCACAGAAGTGGCAATCTTCAGTGACTAACCTTTATGCAACTGGAGGTTCTGGTCTGACATTTATATAGTTGCACCGCTAGTGGGAATTCTCCTTAAATAAAATTTTCAGGTTCTTAGCTGCCACAGAGACAAGTTTTTGTAAAGCTGTAACAAAATGGAAACAGAAGTTGAAACGCATTTAGAATGGTTTCAATACTATAAGGCTAGAATAGATGCCAACAAAAGACAGAAAAGCTATTGGCAAGCAGGATGGAAAAAGTACCAAGAGATGACAAGTGTTTTCCCCAGATTTATGAGTGGAAAAGTTCATTCTGATATCATTAATGGTTGATACTTTACTGTGTAGTTCATGAAGATGGCAGAAAACTGAGAGCACCTAACAGGACAGCAAGGGTGGGAAAGCAGAGAAAGACCCTGCCTGTGTGTGTCTTACCTTGCTAAGCTTTCTTCTGTACCCAAGGCACTAAGAATGAGTTTTGGATAGGAGTATGGGAGCCTTTCTCTACTGCTTGCAGCCTGTAAGCTGCTGGTCTTTTGTAAGGGGATGAGAGTTAACAGACAGCAAAAGGGAGAAAGGAAACATCAAAGTGGGTATTAAAAGATTAAAAATAACAGTAAGCAAAGGGAGAGAGAAAAGGGAAAAAGAATTGAGAACAAAAAATGGAAATGGGGAGGACATTAATCGGCTGTGTCAGAATATGGAGGAAGAAACACAGGGACTAAATGTTCAAATACTGATCCATCCCTGCTGGCGAAAAAAATGATTGTCTATGGCTGTAGAAACTTTGATATCAAACACTGATGTCAGAACTGAGGAGGACAGCTTTAGGATGTATAAATTACTGTGCTTTTGCTAACTGTTGACTGTTATCTAAAATTACTGGAAAGTATAGATGAGAAAAAGTAGAGATTTTAATTATTCACTCAGTTAAAGTTGTGTTGATGGTAGAGTGCTGATATTTAATCTACAAAATCTTAATCCAAAACATTAATTTGACCCAAAGGAATCAACAAAGACAAATGCTGAAAAAAGTTATTTCAGTAGATTTATTTGGTCATATCTTTATTACACTTTCAAATTTGAGTTGAGAATTTTTAGTGAATAAGTTAGAATATTGCAGTGAGAGTGCTGAGAGGAGCATTTCCAAAGTAAGAAAGGAATGTCTCTTCTCCAATTATGATCTCTCAAAACGGGATGTTAAATGAACTTCAGACTTTGCCAAGAATTTTTCCTATACTTATATACAAAATGTGGACATTTCAGGATGAAAAAGCTTTTTTCAACAAATAAAAACAGGTTGAACTCATAGCTGTCGTGTCACTATAGACTCAGTATTAATGACAATGTTTCAGCTCAGTTTCTGTCAGTTTATTTTATAAAGAAATTCCCAGACTTACTTTTAAGATCATTTTTACCTGAAGGTGTCCTTGAGACTATTTTGTGACTTCCCATCCAAGCATTCCTGTTTAAGCCCTTTGAAACATCACTTCTAGTTGAGTGTGTGAGTTGACTTCTGGTGTGACTGACCACTGCTTCATAAGCGATGAAGACTCTGTGGGATGTGTTGTGATATAACTTCTCGGTTGGGACTTGTATTCAGCCTGCCCATCTTTGTTACAGTCCAAGATACTTAAATATACCCTCAGATCATGCTTTTTGTTCCATTATGTATGTACTGTGTTATGGCACAAGCATACTGAAGATGGATGCACTGAGGGTGTAAGATACCGAATTTGCATTCAGTGCATCTTCAGTATGCTGTTCTCACCGGAGTCAGAAGTTTTGCTGTGGATGTCATGGGTGTGGAACAACATACATCCTCATGGACAAGTCTCTGTATTTGCATTTCTGAACACAGGCCTCTCGCTTCTAATAGCAATTTGCCACTTCACTGCTTTGGGTGGTGAGCTCCTGGAAATTGGGAAACGGCAGGGAAATCCTCACCAAGACATGGAGTTGAAGGGTCTAATGCCTACAAGATACACTAATTGTTTTAGCATTGGGACCTACCGATGATGTCAGTTCAGTGAATATATTTTGCATTTTGGAATTGATGTAGGTGACACAATGGGAAAACTGTGGTAGCAGAGAAAGACAAGCTCCTGGGATGGCACATGGTAGCCCAGAAATAAGTGCAAGCTAAATGACCAACTGGTGTCACTTCAAACATGTTTTTCTCTGCATTTTGACAAGGATTTATCTTGAGTGATCTAATAATCCTGAAATACCTATTCGGTTTTGCTTCTCAAGACACTTGAATGGTGACTGAACACTGTTTTTTGTTTTTCTTCTGTTTTGTTTTTTAAAACAGAGGCCATCCCTACTTTCATGACAGCCCTCCTCCTCTTGCTAACATCTGCTACATGTGACAGTTCTGCCCTCGCTGGCAGTTCCTGTGTTGGGCTGGTTGTGGCCGCTCAGCAGCTCTGGCATTTTTTGCAAGGGTACCAAAGGGAGAAAGTGTGGATGGAAGATGAACAAAACCAAATAACTCTGTGTCCTGGTTTCAGCAGGGATAGAGTTAATTTCTTTCCTAGTAGCTGGTACAGTGCTGTGTTTTGGATTTAGGATGGGAACAAAATTGATAAGGCACCAATGTTTTAGTTGTTGCTAGGTAGTGCTTACACTGGCCAAGGACTTTCTAGTTTTTCATGCTCTACCGACTAAGAAGGCTGCATATGCACAGGGAGCTGGGAGGGGGCACAGCCAAACTGGCCAAAGGGACATTCCATACCATGTGATGTCATGCTCAGTACATAAACTGGGGGAAGCTGGCCGGGGGGGGCCGCTGCTTGGGGACTGGCTGGGCATCGGTCGGCGGGTGGTGAGCAATTGTACTGTGCATCACTTGCTTTGGGTATTATTACTATTATCATATTATTATCATTATCATTTTATTTCAATTATTAAACTGTTTTTATCTCAACCCACAAGTTTTCTCACGTGCTTTTCCAATTCTCTCCCCCATCCTATCGGGAGGGGGGGAGTGAGCGAGCGGCTGCATGGTGCTTAGTTGCCAACCAAGGTTAAACCACGACACTCTGAAAACTACAGTTCCAAGTGCCTTTTTCAGTCTGTGCTGTTATGGAGAAAATGTCTTGTAACGTTTCTTACTGCTGGATCTCTACAGTGTTACTTTGTTGTAACTTGGAAGTTCAGCTTCTCCTGCACTGACACAAGTGCCTTAAGTTTATGCATTGCAATAGTTGCTTCAGTCCAGTAGATATTTAGATATTGCAAATATCCATTGTTCAGTCCTGCAATTTCTTGTATACAGGTATATGCCTTCCTTTTTACATAGTCCTTTCGGGACTGTAGGAAGGAAGGGCATTCCCTGTGAGAGGGATTACTTGATTTGGGGGAAGTACACTAAACTTACCCCTTCGTGGACACAATATGTGAAATTCAAACAATGCTGAAGAACAACTGCATTTTCCTGTTATATAATTGGTAGTGGCCGGGATGGTTGATTTCTCACCCTGAGCCCCACAAAGTGTAGTATTGCCCTTGTCTTACTGAAGTCTGGGTGCTAATGAGAGATACCGGTAAGATGGCCAGGGTCTTATGCTACAAGATTCCTAAGACACATTACAGATTCCTAGGGATCTCTAAACCTTACATGGTTCTAATGAGCTGTTAACACCTCTCTAGATAATAGTGCCAGTGGTTGCTTTCCATTACTCTAATATACACTCTGTAATCATTTGCATTCATTTTCAACAGGCTCTTCTGTCCAGTTCAACTCAGACGGAAGTCTGACACATTTTCTTCAATTCAGTGAGATAGTAATGGTATGTAAAGAGGAGTTTCTACCATGCCCTGTAATGGAAAAGCACTGGAGTTTCTACAAAGGATGTGAAGGTTTTGGATTCTAAAGACTTCTTGAGCGCTAACATTTTTTTCTTCATCGTTACTTAAAAGTAAACGTTTGAGCTTTTAGAACTAAGTGCTTTGTTACTGTCATTTTGATAAACCATTTGCCCAGCACTTGGAATGGACTGCAAGATTGTTTGGGTAAATGAGGAACTGGAGAGTACTTTGTGGCCAGTGAGGATAACTGTCAATATTGAATTTTGTGCTGTAAGATTAAGAAATGGGGAAGTAGACGAGGACTGTTATACACTAGAGCTCGTTGTGAATTATATTCCAGGTTGATAACTTTGTATGAAATTCCACTTATTTCAGTGGCTGCCCATGCTCGGTGGGGCTGCACAGAACCACATAGGATGTGGTATCAACACTGATAGTCACTTCCTATACCTAAACCTGGAACTGCTCTGCCTGAGCACGTGCTATCAGAAGTGGCTGCACATGTTTGTGTAATAACATAAGCTGTTAGGTTAGGCTAAAAAACAAGATGGGCAGCTTTGAAAATCACCAGCAGCTTTGCTTTATGTGGCATGGATACATACAAACATTTGAGAAGGGGGCAGGTGCTGGGAGAGGTTAAAAGAGGAATTTTCGCCATTGGAAATGCTCAGGGAAATTCCATTCATGTTGCAGCCAAGTCTTTCTGGTAGGCAGAAAATGTGCTGGCATATGGCAAGAAATGCAGTTAGCCTGTTTGTGGAACACGAATTTTTCAATCTAACAACATCTTAGATATTCACCCCCATTTCTGGAGGATTTATATTTGTTTTAATTTTACAATGTGTGAATCTCCCTCAGTAGCATATTTATAACACATTTGACTGTCATGAGAGTTATCTGCATTCAAATGGCATTCTTGCGCTTTCGTTCTCTGGATTATAAGAAGAGATGAAATAATAACACCTGCTACTCCTAACTCCAGTGAATGGGATGAGAAATATCTCCTGTCAATACATAACAACCTCAGCTAGCTATTTGGAGTGCGAAGAGCTGTTCTGCAGAGATTTGATTAGTGTCTTAAACGGAAGGTGGTTTAGGGAGGAGAGAGGGGTCTGATGTGCAGAGAGCTAATACGGTGCCCTGGGATGCATGAGCAGTCATAGCCTGATGGGCTGTAAGGATAAAGAAATGCAAACTGCCTGGAAGTCAAAAAAGTTAAAGGCTGCTGAGTGACAGGTATTTAGTAAAGGTCACTTTCCACACAGAAAGAAAATGGAGTGGTCTCACAGCTGCTGCAGCAAAACAAACCTGAAGGCATATTGGTTTAAAGGAAATGTTTGTTCAAATACTTCACTTTCACTTTCCCTGAAAAGTGACTTTTGACTGTTACAATAGCTACTGGATTACTTACATGTTTGGCATTTTTTCTTTGTTACAAGATGACTAATAAAATTAATGTATAAAAACTGGGAGGACTTGACAGTAATACTTTTAGTCCATTATATTAATGTGATTACATGACCTAAGGCAATCCTAAGATACAGTGACAAAATATCTGATTGATTCAAGCTGGGCAAAGAGGTAAAAATGTAAAGTGTTACATGAAAACCACTGTGTCTTACTGACGCTATATGTAAAAGTAAGCTACCAGGGTTTTTTTCAATATTTGTATTGTATAGAAGCATCTTGAGAAAGGTGTTAGCTTGACAACTTACGTTTTAATATGACTAACAGATGTAGGATTCTGCTTCCCAAATCTTCTTACAACTGTGAATTTTCCCTATTTTCCTTACAGGAATCTTTTTCTTAATGTAAAAATCAATTAAGAGATGGCAAAAAGTCATACCGTCGTGAATAGTGTGTTTTGTTTTCTCTGTTTAAATTTATGCTTTCTAGGTGTACTTTTGCATAAAAATACAAGCTGTTACCACAGGTCAAAGACAGGCAGCTACTAGCGCTCCTAACTACAGCAGAGTAATAAAGCTTCTGCTCACAAGTGGCAAACAGCAACGGTTAGTCCTCCCAGCCCCTCCTGCTCCCTTCATGATTCAGTTCCTTTAATTAGTAAACCCCTTCTCCACTCCTAGGCTGTGAGTTAGCACATATTTTGTGTGGTGCAGGCTAAAGTAAAAAGGACATAAAATGCGAAGAATACAAACCCCCTGGCGTTCTGCCTGCTGTTAATATTCAGATGGGGAATAAGAGGAGAAAGAGATGATGCAGTGAACAAAAGCCACGAATTCAGACTCATGTTTCCAGAGATTTATTTATTTATTTATTTATTGCCGAGATGGAGTTAAAAAAATCAGTGGGAAGATTAATACCAGTGAGGAAGAATGCAAGGCACAAAACAAAAGAACGAGAGTGAGAAGGGAAGATAAGCAGCTGGGAGGCAGACAATACAACACAAGATTCATAGATTTTAAGGCCAGCAGGGACCAATGGGATAAGCTGACCTCCTGAATAACACAGGCCAGAGGTTATGAAAAGGCGTAAGCAGGGGAGACACGGGGAACAGAGAAAAGAAATAAAGACAAGGATGTGGATAGAGCTGAAGTCACTGTAGGCGGAAGATCAGCACAAAACATTGCACCTTCTTTTCAGGCAAAGCTGAACTATAACCAGCAAGAGCTGGTTAGGTAAGAGAAACGTGGGAATGAAGGCCAGCTTTGGAAAGGTATTTAAAGTACTGTAAGGTGCAAATACACCTTGGGTTTTTGATAGTGGAAATGCAGCTAAGAAGGGGGGGAGGCAAAGGGGATAGCAGAATAATGTTGCCATAGGAATTTGAATAAATTCTTGGAGCAGTTGCAGTTGGCAAGTGTTTCATCATGGTGACACACGGGCAAAGACTTCTTTTTTCTGGTTTTCAAACCTTAACTGGAGAAAAACACCTGTTTAAATGACGGAGAGAATGAACAACTGCATATATGGAGATTCGGGCACTTTTTCTGGTCACCAGTAGTCAAGTAACCAATCGGGCAGGAGATCATATAGATGATCTGGAATTTGAACGATTAAGTTTCTGGCCATATCAAGAAAAGAAGCTTAAATATGACACAGGAAGGGAGTAGAACATTTCAAAGATGGAACAGGATTCAAAGAACTCTATATGTTTTTTTGGGTTGGTTTTTTTGTTGTTGTTTGTTGGGCGCGGGGGGGGGGGGGGGGGGGGGGGGTGTTGCTAAGGCTTTGGCTTTGTTTCTGGGAGAAAGTTTTACCACTTACACCGATATTATTATAGCAGAGTAACCCACAGGTGAGTTGTCCAGCAGCTGCGTCCTTTTGATTTCACTCAGGCTTCTGTGGAAGGAGCTCAGGCAGACGGTTACATAGAACTCGGTTACAGTGGCTTAAGCAATTAGCAACCTCCAGCCGAGCTGTCACAGCGGCGCCCGGCTGCACGGTCTGCGCTACGGGAGCGGACAGACGCTCCCCGCTCTGGCGGCATCTTCCAAATTTCCCACCGAACCCGTGCAGCGGGCGTGCAGGCCCTCGGTGAGCAGAGCCTAGCAGCTCAGCCGGACCTTAAAACACTGGCCTTTGCCTGGAAGTCGTTGGGGAACCGCAGTATTCCAGCGCAAGGGCAGGTTATTTCACTGTTAGCGGAGGTTTAAAGCCGGAACGCAGCTTAACTGGTTCA